TTCTTGCGTGTGAACGTCGTACGCCTATGGACAATCTTCTCGCGTACCTTTGCGCACCTCCATGTGCGACCTCGCATACGAGCTCGTACCCGTCTTTTATGCCATGCATGCGTCGCTTTGGCTCTTTTTACAGCCTCATCGGGTTGTCTCGGCTCTTGACCCTTCTTGTCGTCGGGGTCCAAAACCCACTTTCGTATCATTCCCCTCCTCTTCAAGACTTTCCTTGTCCTCAAGGATTCGTCCACGACCATCCAAACATCGGGCACTCGTTCTTCGACCACTTGCACATACCGCTCATGGTCCTCATCGACCTCGACTTCTCTCCCACCATTGATCTCCACATCTTCCACGTGCATCTCCTTGCCAAAGCCCTCTTCGACCGCAAGAAAGATCTCCACCTCGACCTCGGCGTCCTCGACGTCGTACACCTCTTCATCCACATCCAAGATCGTCTCCTTGACCTCGACCACTTCGGCTCCTTTATCCTTGATCTCGATGTGATCCACTTCCTCGTCCATGAACACGTCGCCGAATGAAGGTGGATCCTCGGACTCGCGTGATTCTCGGAGCTTCACTTTGGCCTCCGCTTGTTGCATTTCCTCAAACTCCTTTCGCTCGTGAATCTCGTTCAAAAACTCTTGCTCCCATGGAGTCAAACTCCTCTCCAAACCTTCGAGATAAGCAAGATCTTCCAGATCCAACTCATCTAATGGTATGAACATCAAGACTCTCACTTTTTGTTTTTTTAAGACTCTAAAAAATCGAAAATAAAAGAAGAAGGATTCGAATCTAGGGAAGGAAAAATAAAAAAAGACTAGATGACACTTTTTTTTTTGATACTCACGAAATTTTTTGAAAATTTGGAGAAAAAATTCGAAAAACTCGAACCAAAAAAGAAAAAGAATAAGATAGGAAAAGTTCACGAACACCCAATCAATCACTCTTAATGAAAGCACCAATGATGGTTGATCGGGTGTTGCGTTCCCTCGACTTGTCTCGATCACAACTTTGCCACGGCCTTGCTCTCGACGATAGGTGTGATCGACTCGGTTATTAGCCTAACTCTCTCACGATACTTGAGTTTACTCGGGTATTAGCCTCGCTACACTCTTCGAATAGATCGGGTCTTAGCCTCTCTAATTCGTTGAACTGTCTTGGGTCTTAGCCTCACCAATTCGGTTGCATGATCGAATTCTCACGAACCCTAACACACGGTTTCGAACAAACGTTCTTTTCTATTTCATCAATTCTCGACCTCTAAAAACAATGAGGGAACATCCCTATTTATAGATTCTAACTATGACTAATTCTAATCTACCTAGGAAGCTAATTAAAGCAATTAAATATTAAATAACCTAAACAATCTAGAGAATATTCAGCTCTAGAGGATCTTGTGCCTTGACTTGCACTCCAAGTAGGGAAGAATAATCTAGAGAATATTCAGCTCAAAAAGGTCTCCCAAACTTGGTTTCTTGCTAGGCAAGTCTTGCCCCGC